CTGGGCCATACCAGTCTGGAGTGTACTGGTTTGTACTGGGCCATACTGGTCTGTACTGGAGTGTACTGGGCCATACCAGTCTGGAGTGTACTGGTTTGTACTGGGGTGTACTGGGCCATACCAGTCTGTACTGGAGTGTACTGGTTTGTACTGGGCCATACTGGTCTGTACAGGAGTGTACTGGTTTGTACTGGGGTGTACTGGGCCATACCAGTCTGTACTGGAGCGTACTGGGCTCTACCGGTCTATACTGGGTCATACCGGTCTGTACTGGAGTGTCCTGGTTTGTACTGGAGTGTACTGGGCTATAGCGGTCTGTACTGGGCCATACTGGTCTATACTGGAGTGTACCGGACTGTACTGGGCCATACTGATCTGTACAGGAGTGTACTGGTTTGTACTGGGCCATACCAGTCTATACTGGAGTGTACTGGTTTGTACCAGAGTGTACTGGGCTGTACCAGTCTGTACTGGAGTGTACTGGTTTGTACTGGAGTGTACTGGGCCATACCAGTCTGTACTGGGCCATACTGGTCTGTACTGGACCACACCAGCCTGTACTGGAGTGTCCTGGGCCATACCGGTCTGTACAGGAGTGTACTGGTTTGTACTGGAGTATACTGGGCCATACTGGTCTGTATTGGACCACACTGGTTTGTACTGGAGTGTACTGGGCTATACTGGTCTGTACTGGTCGGTACTGGTATGTACTGGTTGGTAGTGGTGCATAATGGCCAGCACTGGCCTGTACTGATGGGGACTAGTTGATACTGGTCTGTACTGGGGTCAATACTGGGATGTACTGGTCGGTACTGGTCCATAATGGTTGGCACTGGTCTGTACTGATTGGGAATAATTGATACTGGTCAGTACTGGTCTGTACTGGTCTGCACTGGTCCATAATGGCCAGTACTGGTCTGTACTGATGGGCCCTAGTCCATACTGGTCTGTACTGGTTGGTACTGGTCAGTACTGGTTGGTACTGGTCCATTATGTCCAGTACTGGTCTGTACTGGTTGATACTGGCCCATAATGCTTGGTACTGGTCGGTACTGGTCCATACTGGT